AGTGACAGTAAATAGTACATGTTGGTAAGTCCATAGCATCTGGAGTTATGAAGGTTGCCTACCCCTGCCCTAAATGACGGTAACTTATGGAAAACAACACATGAGAAGTGTTGAGACCTGAATCTCACAGAGGGAAAGTGCAGTGATGTCTTAAGAAGATAAAAGTGCAATCTACTGAGCCAGTGTTTTCAGGCTCTTGTCAATGTAATAAAATGGAAAACGACCAGGGATCCAGCTTCTATAACTAAAATGCAAACATAAAATACAACATAGTGTAGTAAAGTTTTAGCATTAAACTCTCGCTTCACGTTTCAAAATTACATAGAAGCAGAAACATAGAAAGTGATGGCAGAAAAGAACCATTTGGCCCATCTAGTCTGCCCAATCTTCTAAATACTTTCATTAGTCCCTGGCCTTATCTTATAGTTAGGATAGCCTTATGCCTATCCCACGCATGCTTAAACTCCTTTACTGTGTTAACCTCTACCACTTCAGCTGGAAGGCTATTCCATGCATCCACTACCCTCTCAGTAAAGTAATACTTCCTGATATTATTTTTAAACCTTTGTCCCTCTAATTTAAGACTATGTCCTCTTGTTGTGGTAGTTTTTCTTCTTTTAAATATAGTCTCCTCCTTTACTGTGTTGATTCCCTTTATGTATTTAAATGTTTCTATCATATCCCCCCTGTCTCGTCTTTCCTCCAAGCTATACATGTTAAGATCCTTTAACCTTTCCTGGTAAGTTTTATCCTGCAATCCATGAACCAGTTTAGTAGCCCTTCTCTGAACTCTCTCTAAGGTATCAATATCCTTCTGAAGATACGGTCTCCAGTACTGCGTACAATACTTCAAGTGAGGTCTCACCAGTGTTCTGTACAATGGCATGAGCACTTCCCTCTTTCTACTGCTAATACCTCTCCCTATACAACCAAGCATTCTGCTAGCATTTCCTGCTGCTCTATTACATTGTCTGCCTACCTTTAAGTCATCAGAAATAATCACCCCTAAATCCCTTTCCTCAGATGTTGAGGTTAGGACTCTATCAAATATTCTGTGCTCTGCCATTGGGTTTTTACGTCCAAGATCCATTATCTTGCACTTATCCACAATAAATGTCAGCTGCCACAATTCTGACCATTTTTCTAGTTTACCTAAATCATTTGGCTTATCCCTCCTGGAACATCAACCCTGTTACATATCTTAGTATCATCAGCAAAAAGACATACATTACCATCAAGACCTTCTGCAATATCACTAATAAAAATATTAAAGAGAATGGGTCCAAGTACAGATCCCTGAGGTACCCCACTGGTGACAAGTCCAAGCTTCGAATATACTCCATTGACTACAACCCTCACAGATTGACGTTTTGTATCAGGCCTTCAGGGTGCCTCCCCTGTGGTTAGGGTTTTTTTAAATCCTGTTGCTGGTAATCACGCCAGTTCTTGTATCAGGAAGTCCACACACTCCCAATGGTTGAGTAGAAAAAGGAATTTATTAGCTTTAAAAAATACACTTGAATAAAAGATAATGGTCCTACGCGTTTCGTTCCCCTTAAGAAACGTCTTCAGGGACCAAAATGTAAAACAATGACTATAAAATATACAATCAAATACACTGCCAACAAAATGACAAATGTACAAATAAGCCTATTATCCCTCTCCCCCTCCTTCCCTTAAATATGGTAGAGCCGAGAGTCCATTGGTGGTGTGGTGGGTGTTGTTCTATCTTCTCCTTTGTTTGGGCTTCCTGTCCTTCGGCAATCACCATACAAAGTTGTCCCAGCTGATGATTTTCTTTTTTCGCGGTAAGATTTTTCTTCCGGCATTTACTTCCGGTCTTGCACACGTCCGTGCGTTCCACTCGATCTTTAGTTAAGATGGCCGTGCGTTCCATTCAACCCAATTGTAAACCTTCATATCATTGCTATCTGGTGGTCGCCAGAGGCATTACCACGGTTTTCACATGGTATTGTAGTCCATATTAATGCATCATATGGTTAGAAAAACATAATGATTCATATTATATTTTCCAATTGGACTACACATATAACCTTTATTTCCATAATTGCTCATCAGCATACAATTATCCTTTTAATGTCTATATTTTTCTTATATATTATAGATGACTAATTGATTATATTCACCCTAGTCAATCTTATTTAATACATATATAAACAGGACACTGTATTCTGATGTTCATTTAAGGGCATCCTAAAAAAAATCCATAATTTTGGCCTCATACATCAATTATACTCCCTTTCTTCCTATTTTATATATATATATATATATATATATATATATATATATATATATATATATATATATATTATTGCTATTGTTGTGAGTGTTTTAATTTTGAGTATTTTTCTTCTTTTGCATGGGGGAAAATAACTTCTCTCCTTGGTTTAAATCTTTATTTTTTCTCTAAGGCTCAATTTCTCTATCTTTCAACCCAACAAATTATACTTTTCAAAAAATTCGGTTAGTTCAGGAAACACACTAGATCCACATCGACATTCAGTCCCAAAGGGCTAAGTGTCTGTAACTTGTGGTTCCAGTATGTTTCCCTCTGGGCCAACTTTTGGTCCCTATTACCACCCCTCCAATATAGTGAGATTTTCTCTATAGCTGTACACCTCAGAAACGCGTATAAATCTCTGCCATAGGACCAGGTTCGCCACCCAGTCATGACCACACCACATGAAGAGATCTTCCCACCTCCTCATATATGTGTTGGCATAACTGGAGGCAAACCTGGTACCCATGGCGGTTCCTGTGGTTTGCAAATAAAAACACCCTTCAAAATAAAAATAATTGTGCTCTAAGATGAATTTTACTGCTGTCCAAATTAAGTTTTTCATGTCATTAGGTAAATTTTTATCTCCACTCATGAAATAATTAATGGCCTCTAACCCTAGGGAGTGACTAATAACAGTATAGAGTGACGCTACGTCCAACGTAGCCCAGCTATATTCCTCCTGACATTCTAAATTTGCCACTTCTTGTAAAAATGATTTTGTATCCTTCGTATACGATAAAGCCTGTTGGGCATATGGTTGGAGATATGAGTCAACATAGGCCTATAGATTGGCCGTTATAGAGTCTATCCCACTAATAATGGGCCTTCCTGGGGGAGTATGTTAATTTTTATGAATTTTAGGGATAAAATAAAAGATTGGAATGGTGGGAAATTTATTAAACAGAAACTCAAAATTTTGGGGGGAAATAATTCCATCATTTTTGCTGATATTAACAATTTATTTAACTGAGTGTTAAATGATGAGGTGGGATAGGGTGAATATAATCAATTAGTCATCTATAATATATAAGAAAAATATAGACATTAAAAGGATAATTGTATGCTGATGAGCAATTATGGAAATAAAGGTTATATGTGTAGTCCAATTGGGAAATATAATATGAATCATTATGTTTCTGTTCCCATATGATGCATTAATATGGACTACAATACCATGTGTAAACCGTGGTAATGCCTCTGGCGAGCACCAGATGGCAATGATATGAAGGTTTACAATCGGGTTGAATGGAACGCACGGCCATCTTAACTAAAGATCGAGTGGAACGCACGGAAGTGCGCAAGACCGGAAGTAAATGCCGGAAGAAAAATCTTACCGCGAAAAAAGAAAATCATCAGCTGGGACAACTTTGTATGGTGATTGTCGAAGGACAGGAAGCCCAATCAAAGGAGAAGCTAGAACACCACCCACCACACCACCAATGGACTCTCGGCTCTACCATATTTAAGGGAAGGAGGGGGAGAGGGTTAATAGGCTTATTTGTACATTTGTCATTTTGTTGGCAGTGTATTTGATTGTATATTTTATAGTCATTGTTTTAAATTTTGGTCCCTGAAGAAGTTTCTTAAGGGGAACGAAACGCGTAGGACCATTATCTTTTATTCAAGTGTATTTTTTAAAGCTAATAAATTCCTTTTTCTACTCAACCATTGGGAGTGTGTGGACTTCCTGATACCGGAACTGACGTGATTACCAGCAACAGGATTAAAAACCCTTCTAACCACAGAGGAGGCACCCTGAAGGCCTGATACAAAACGTCAATCTGTGAGTATAAACTTGAAACGTGAAGCGAGTGTTTAATGCTAAAACTTTACTACACTATGTTGTATTTTATGTTTGCATTTTAGTGATACAAGCTGGATCCCTGGTCGTTTTGCATTTTATAACATTTTGTATATAGTTACCAGTTTGGGAGATAACTTAAGGGAAGCAAGTATCCAAAAGTTACGTTTTAATTTTATTTTCCACGGGTGATCAGGTGGAAGTTGTATATTGTCTTGTCAATGTGAGTGGTTTTCTAATATCACTTTGCCAAAATCATCCCTGTACATTTTTTGTCATAACAGTGTATATTACCCATATATTGCAAGGTTAAGAGTAATTTTTATTTTGTTTTATGGCTGTTTTTTTTGTTTTTGTTTTTTTAAATTTTTTGTTGTTGTTGTGCATGAGATAACAACAGTGCTTGCACAGTCACAGTAGGTTTCACAAGCGTGGTTTTCGGTGCATATAACAGAAATATGGCATGTAGACAACTTGCACATTTTTGTAGGTATAACATAACATGCTAGGTTTGCTTTTAATCGAGCTAGGTGTGTTTGAACTTATATATGTTTTGTTGATGCATTGTTAAGGGAGAAAGCTTTGTAAGATTAAGGCACTGGTTGCACGTTTCAAAGATTACATGTAGACCATTTTTGTTTTCACTGCTAGTGTTCAACTCGCGTAAATTGCCATTTTAGATAGGGTTAGCTATTAAAACAATGTGTAAGCTTTTAAGGTAAACTTATGTACACTTAAGCAGTTAAAAACTCTGTGAGGGGTGAGATAACGACAGCAAGCAAACTGTAACTTTACGGTTAGTTAGTTTACATGAAGCAGTTCCTGCATTAAGGGGTATGTTAGTAACGTTCAGCTAGAACAATCTGTGTCTGGCTGACTCTGGTCTGCTACTTGTACTCATCCGAATCCAGCTGGGTGCCAGACGCCGTCCTCGTGGGCTCTCATCGCCTGAAGTGTCAGATGCTTTTGCGTGGTTGAGTGCCAGGCATCCGGCTTGTGGTGGCGTATCCCACGGCTGTGCAGGTCGGTGTGGTGTTTCGTGTCCCTGGTTTTCGGTCTCGTTCTGCGGGGCCGGTCAGTCCCATGGATAGTGGTTGTGATAAGTACTGGAGGTCTTCTGTGGTGGGCAAAGGTAGGGCTCTGATGTGTCAGGCTTTGCTTTTGCTTGTGCTGAGGTAAAACTTGGGGCCTGGGCAGCCTTCTCCGCATGATCCTCTTCCCTGCCAGAGCCGCGGGTATGTTCTGTGTGCATGGGAGGTGCCGTTTAGGTAAGAGACTGCTCGCCTGCTGTGGGGCATGTTTCAGTGCCCTGTTCTCCAGCTTCAACCAGAATGCTGCCATGATAGCCTCTAGTTTGGTCTGTAGCTTGGTCTCAGTGCTGAGATCTTGATTGCGAGAGAGGCACGAGGTGTCCGCCATTAGGGGTGAGTTGGCAGTTAGGTGAGTCGCTTGTCTGCTGCCCTTCACCTCCCCCTCACCTCTGTGGGATGTAGTTCTCACGTGTTGGACTGTGTTCACCCCCAACGGTCCTGGGGGGGAGTAACGGGGCTTCTGTCTCTCCGTAGCGGTCGCTGGGTATCCTCGAAGCGGGAGAGCGACCGCCTCTCCCGCCCGGTGCATACAAGGCCGCATGTCGTCTCGTGTGTGGTTATTCGGTTTTTACTGGGTCACCGACCCCTACAACCCTGCCCAGCAGTGTCAGGTGTCGGAGTGGGCTCCAGGTGGTCCCGGAATCAAGCTTTGTGAGGCTGCTTGTCGCTTTTGTTAGCAAGATTGTGGAGGAGCTTCAGTGGAACACGTCTGTCCTCCATGACAGTTAGGCCCTGCCCCCATTTTATGGCTGTTTTTAAGCGCTCCTTTCTGGTATATATATTTTATTTACTTATATTACACTTTATTAATTGGTAAAATTTTTTGGTGTGGGTAAGAGATTATTCCCACATGAGTGTTTTAGTGCCGCTATCCACCTTTGTAGATATTAAACACGGATTTATTGGCACACTCTTTGAGAGGGTGATAAGTTTGAGAATTTTGTAAGTTATAGACATCAAGCTAAGCAACAATGACAAATGTCAATTAGTGGTTACTAAGACCAGTAAGGTGTTGTCATGCATAAATAGGGCTGTAATTATCGGGACTAAAATATAATTTTTCCTCATTATAAGTCAATGGTGAGTCCACACCCTAAAAATGCTGTACAATTTTTGGCACATGTTCTAGAGAAGGATATCATGGCACAGGCAGGCTACAAACTTAACAAGTGGAATGGAAGGTTTTAATTATGAAGAAAGAACAATACTGTCATGATTCTGAGCAGTAGTTATGGTAGGGTTTTAAACTGAACTCTGTCCCTTTAAGTAGTATGTAGCCGGGTGCAACTCGGACAGTCTCAGTACCAGAGAACGTGTAGGTCGAAACATTGTGATGGAATGGGTTCAATAAAATCGCCTGGTTTGTACCCTGGAGTGCTTGGACCTTTCTTCTGTGATTCTGAGCAGGTCAGATAGGAGACTTTGGCCAGAGTTAACATTAGAGACTTTATTGGTAAGCTTTGACATGATAGAGATAGAGATAAAAAACAGAAATAAGGGGATTTAGGCAATATGCCCTAAATATAATATAACCAGCAATGTAAGTAAATAATAAGAAAATCTACAGATAAAAGTTGAGGTTAAAATAGAAGGACAAATAAAACGGAACAGAACAATAAGGTTGTAGGATTACCGGAAAAGTCCCCTACTGGAAGGAGTATTGCTCAAGCAAGAAAATAACACCATGAAATATTACTTTAAGGCAAAGCCCAGATTGGTATTATGCAGCAGATAGGTTGTATCGATCAAGCTGGTAGAAATCAGGCTGGTAAGGTAAAGCTGCATAGTTGTGAAGTTCAGGTTGGTATAGTGCAGGTTTGGAAGTCTAGGAATGCAGAGTTGTTTAGGCAAGTCTGGAGCAGGTTGGTATGGAGCAGGTTTGAAGCCAAGAAGGTAAACCCACAGGTTAGCTCACAGGAGCCAGGATCTGAAGTGTTTCAGGCAAATCAACAACTTCAATGTAAATCCATTGTGGTGAGTTGGATGTAGCCTTTTGTAGAATCTTAATTAGTCCAGGCAGGTGAGGAAAATAAGGTGACCTTCCAGAACTAGAGGCAAGAGAGGTCACTAGTGGTGAAACATAATCAGTGTAGGAACTTGGTTTTAAAGGAACAGAATAAACGGAACAAAAAGTCTTGTATATCAGGATAGGATCCTGACAAATACATATAAAACAGTTTAGAAAAATTTTTTATTGGCTATTTAAATTGATGTCAAACTGATCAAATCTACTGACACCCATTAACTCCACCCATGGTACTTCTCCTGATACTCCCTCAATGGTAATTTGTCTTGTCAAGAGCAGTGCAGGCTTGTGGTTTCTCTCTGGCTACCTTGAATGGTGATGCCATATTTGTAGACTAAAATTCAAATGATTTACCATAGTGATATGTCTACCAAAATAACTTCCTACTCATGACTCTTCTTCCTTTCTACTTTTCACTCTTCACTCTTCCTCAACTCTATGCGAAGGAGGTGTGTTGCACTGCGTGAGGCAAATGGTGGTCACACGAGATACTGACTGGGTTTCGGACCCCCCGAATCCTCCCAATAAAGTAAAACTGCACATTTAAGAGTGGCCTTTTATTGTGACCTAAGGCACACCTGTGCAATAATCATGCTGTCTAATCAGCGTCTTGATATGCCACACCTGTGAGGTGGATGGATTATCTCGGCAAGGTTCTCACTAACACAGATTTAGACATATTTGTGAACAATATTTGAGAGCAATGGGCCTTTTGTGTACATAGAAAAAGTCTTAGATCTTTGAGTTCAGTTCATGGAAAATGGTGGCAAAAACAAGTGATGCGTAATTTTGTTCAGTGTATATATGGACTTCTAGCAGTTACTTTGTGTGTGTGTATATATATATATATATATGTGTGTGTGTGTGTGTGTATATATATATATATATATACATATATATATATATAATGTAAACACAATGGATGGAGCAATTCAAATCTTTCCTCTTCTCAATATAATACTGCAGAGACAGAGAGATACATACAATAGTGCAGACAATTTGCAATAAATATAAAAACAATATGTGCAAGGAAACACTCACAAAATCAGAGCCAATTAGGAACCTGGCTCTGGTATAGATGTCTTCAGGATCTATTTCAGGGTGATCCTAGCCCTTCTGTGGCTGATGGTGCTGTTTCCAATGAATAGAGAAGGATCCAAAGGGTGGAATAAAAGAACAAATTTATTGACAAACTTTTTTTTTCTTAAAAACCAGAAAGGATAAAATAATAAATGAGCCAATACGCGTTTCACCTGTTGTGGCTTCCTCAGTCAGCTCTCTCAACTACTGTCCAGACAATGTTCTTATATAAGTCATTAATCCGTTAAAATTCGCGGCTAATTTCATTTTGGAACGCACACGTGCGTTCCACATCTTCATTATCATATTTCCGGCCTCGTGGGTGCGATGGCGTCACTTCCGGGTTTCGTTCCGAGTGGAACGCATATTTCCGGCCTCGTGGGTGCGATAACGTCACTTCCGTGTTTCGTTCCGAGTGGAACGCATAATGTTCCAAGCCTCCTCTTCGTCACATAAAAATATCCCACAAAAACGAAAATTAAAACATAATAATCAGTTGTGATATCAAACATAATAATACAAGATCTCTTTCTCAGAACAGTGGAATATCAAATATTATTAACCACAGAACAAAAGTTATTTACCAATACAAATTATATATCATATATTTAGATGTGTATTTTTAATCCCAGTATTTAAAGTGATAGTGCAGGTTATATCAAACCAATGGATTTCTCCATTCCATAGAAAGTGACCATGCATATGTTACTATAGTGCATACACAAATAAGGGAATACATTTATATCTAATAAAATAATCAGATAATTGGGGTTTTATTAATTTCAATAATACATAGCTTCATGTTGTTGGTCTTCACAATTAATTATAAATACAATAATAAAATTCTGATTTAAAAAGTGTAAATTAAAATAACTAAAATAAAAAAATTTGGTGTAATTATAAGATAATTGAGATAATTTAAGATATAAAAAGGTAATATAAATATTAAAATCTTTTAGGTAAGAATATTTTTATCATATTAACTCATAAAAAATGACATAGCTCATAATCTTGATTGAGCCCGTATGGAATCAACATTTTAAAGTTATAGATGCATTTCATCTCTTCTTCCCCTATTTTCCTATTAAAATCTCCCCCTCTCCAATCCCTATGTACCGCTTTTATTGCACAGAAAAACATATTCTTCAGATCTTTATTATGATGGATTTTAAAATGGTTTGAAACACTATGTGTTTCTAATCCTTTTTTAATATTTCTAATATGTTCCTCAATCCTTATATGTACATTTCTAATTGTCCTTCCCACATATATGAGATTGCAGGGACATTTTAAAATATAAATAACATTTTTAGAGAAACATGTTAGCTGATTTCTTATTGTAAATGTTTTGTCTTTCTGATATTGAAAGGAGGTAGTATGTCTTTTCTTCTGATTCGTTTCCCCACACGCTAGACAAGAACCGCATCCATAAAAGCCTTTATTTTTATTTAAAAAGTGTTCAGTTTGTTTAATGGTAAAACTGCTTTTAACGACCCTTTGCTTCAAATTTTTACACCCTCTGTACACTACCATTGGTTTGGGAGGCAGGATCTGTTTTAAAATTGGATCTTCCTGTAGAATAGACCAATATTTGTGGATAATATTCCTTATCTTTATATTGTTCCCACTGTAATTGCATATAAAAGGAATTTTTAATTTGCTGTTATTTCTCGAATTACTTTTCTTTTTGAGTATATGTGTGTGTATATGTATATATATATATATATATATATATATATATATATACAGTTGCAAGAAAAAGTATGTGAACCCTTTGGAATGATATGGATTTCAGCACAAATTGGTCATAAAATGTGATCTGATCATCATCTAAGTCACAAAATAGACAATCACAGTCTGCTTAAACTAATAACACACAAAGAATGAAATGTTGCCATCTTTTTATTGAACACACCATGTAAACATTCACAGTGCAGGTGGAAAAAGTATGTGAACCCTTGGATTTAATAACTGATTGAACCTCCTTTGGCAGCAATAACTTCAACCAAACGTTTCCTGTAGTTGCAGATCAGATGTGCACAACGGTCAGGAGTAATTCTTGACCATTCCTCTTTACAGAACTGTTTCAGTTCAGCAATATTCTTGGGATGTCTAGTGTGAATCGCTTTCTTGAGGTCATGCCACAGCATCTTAATCGGGTTGTGGTCAGGACTCTGACTGGGCCACTTCAGAAGGCGTATTTTCTTCTGTTTAAGCCATTCTGTTGTTGATTTACTTCTATGCTTTGTGTCATTGTCCTTTTGCAACACCCATCTTCTGTTGAGCTTCAGCTGGTAGACAGATGTACTTAAGTTCTCCTGCAAAATGTTTTGATAAACTTGGGAATTCATTTTTCCTTCGATGATAGCAATCCATCCAGGCCCTGACGCAGCAAAGCAGCCCCAAACCATGATGCCCCCACCACCATACTTCAC